TTGGGACAGATGGTCGCCCTCCCGGTGATAGAACAAGTTGCCGTACTCTAGGATTACCGTGTCCTCCCCCTCTCTTCGGACCTCGGATAATCTAATAATATGCCAGCGCAACTTGTCTACCTCTTCTTCCAACTCCAGTATCTTCTCGTCAGTCCTCAGGGTGCGTGCGTTCTAAGTTGCCAGGTCGAGTCGTCGTAGGTGGCAACCGAACCTCCACCGGAGATACTTAGCACCCCTGCCCCGCCGTTACCATAGTCGCCACCGTAGCCAGGAATAGCGGGGCCGCCGGGGACTGGGGGCCGTTTTTTTGCGTCGGTACTCATGGGGAAATATTTGCCAAAGTTGCCACGCTTGCCGGGCGGGTTGGCAACCGCAGTTTTTTATTATATTATTGTTGTTATTAGGAAGATGCTGCTGCCCATCTCCTGCCTGTCTCCCTTTGTCACCTCTTATGACACCCACGGGAAGATATGGGGTAGTGAATATTCTCAACCGCCACTACACGGCATAGCTGCTAGCACATAATAAAAAAAATGGTTTTTTGTGACCTTTTTTGGAGTGCGGGGGATGTTGTTTCGCATGATTTCAAAGTTTGAAGAAAAATAACAGGAGAAAGACGCTTAATTCAAATCAGAAACAGGATTTTTTGTGTGGTGTTGGATTCCTTAGGTTAGTATGACGCTTTGATGTTAATACTTATTATTTTTTATTATTTATTTATGATTTTACTAAAACTATTTCTCTGATTGGTTTACAGTTTAAAAAGAAAAGAACATATCGAATTACATGAGTTTATTCCCCCCAGATATAGCTTGGAAATAAAATTCCAAGGAAATATGTTGTAAAACAAAAAGAATATAATTGAGAGTATAAAAAATGGTGATTCTGGCAGCAAGTTGGTGCAAATATATGGTGTAGGAACTTCTACAATATCAGACATTAAAACTAATTCTGATCCCTTAATGGAATTTACATGCGCGTTTGAGAAAGAAGTTGAAAGCTCGCAACGTAAAGTCAGGAAAAAATCTCAAAATGAAATTCTGGAGAACGCAATTTTTACTTGGTTCTTACTAAAGAGAGCATGCGGCCAGCCTATATCTGGACCTCTTTTATGTAAAAAAAAAACATTGGATTTTAATCAAAAGCTTGGTGGTGATAATCCTTTCAAGGTGATCTGTGGAGAGTTAGCAAGATTCAAATCTAGACGTGGAATTCGAGAACTTTAGATTCAAGGAGAAAAACTGTCTATAGAAGACAGTTTTTCTCGTTGCTTCAGCCGATTTTTTTGTAGATGAGTTATAAGAATTTCTAAATGGAAAAGAATACGATTTATATTTTGTAAAGAATGCGAGTGAAACAGGTTTTAATTGGAAAGCTTTACCAAGCAGATCATTAGCATCGCGTTGTGAAAATGCAGCACCGGGACTCAAAGTGACTAAGGATAGAGTTACAGTTATGACTTTCGCGAATGCTAAAGGAATACATCGATTATCACTGTTACTTATTGGTAAATCAAAAAATCCGCACTGTTTCAAAATTGTTAAAATTCCCTTAACTTTCGCTAACCATTAAAAAGCGTGAATAGACACTGATATTTTTCTTACTTGATATGAAAAAAACATTTATCCCTAATGTGAAGAAATTTCAAAAAGACATGGGAAAAGAGGAAAATATATTGTGGTTATTAGATATTGCGCCAACGCACCCTTCCGCTGAAACACTAAGTCAAGAAAATAGGAAATTTACAATAATTGATAGAATCAGGCGTTATTTTTCGGAAATCCATTATAATAAAAAATAAAAATATAAATTTCTATGCAACCTTTCGCTAAATAAATACAATGATGTGTCTTACCTGGATTGAAGAGCCCCTCCCGCCCTCCCTCAATTGCATGCACTAACTCCGTCACCACTAGTCCCAGCACCACTACTCCCAACACCACTATTCCAGGTAAGACACACCATCGACGATAATACGACACGTGTTTCGCCTCTACACGAGGCATCTTTAGGTTATGTAGACTCTACGGCGGCTGACCGCTAAGCGCGCTTAAATTAAATTTTTAAGGAAATTAATTATAAGATTGTTGATTAAAACTACTTTTACGGATTTTATCGCGTTTATTTTTATATTATTTACTTATTTTTAATTCCCGACGTTTCGGGCGCTTTCCAGCACCCATGGTCACGGGGGACTGAGATGACTGACGTTCCCGATGTCATTGTTAAACCCGGAGTACCTTCAGCTTTTTTAATTATTGTTTATGGTCCGATCTATATAAAATGAACTATGTCCTGAGGTCTTGCAGTGGTATGCTTGGGTTTAGTTTTAATTTTATTGATTATAGGATCCCAAGCAGGTGGTAGTACCCAGTCTCCTTCTCTATTGAAATTAGGATTTTTTTTAATTTCAATAGCCTCACGTATCATTCTTGGTAGGAATCGGTGTTCTTTCGCGAGGACTTCTGGTCTATCAAATCTGTTGTAATGGTTGGGGCCGTCTAGGATATGATACGCACTGCAGACTTCCCGGAACGTTGATGCTTCACATCAGCTATATGTTCTTTTACGCGGGTTCTAATTGATTTTTTGTTTGTACTATATAAGAGAGACCACATTCACAATCAAGCTTGTATACTCCTGCATCTTGTAGAGGAATATGACACTTGACTGATGGTAGGAACTGACTAATCTTCTTCGGCGGCTTGTAGAATGTTCTAATAGAAGCTCGCTTCAAGATGTAGCCAATCTTGTCTGTGACACCTCTGACATATGGTAGTACAGCAGGCACACGCTCGACTGTGGCCGGCTTCACTCGGTTACTGTGACGTAGGCGTTGGACCCGAAGCTTGTTGTCGTGCAGAACTTGCTTGACGTGTTGAAGCTCGGCGGCCAGGTGTTTGCTGTCACAGATCCCTCGTGCTCTCTGTAACAAAGATTTGCCCAAGGTAGCTAACTGTGAAGGATGATGGTGAGATTCACCGTTTAAATATCGGTTTGTATGGGTCTTTTTCCTATACACAGTGTGACCAATGGTTATGTTAGGATTTCGGATGACTAACACATCTAGGAAAGCTAAGGAATTATTTGCCTCTAACTCCATAGTAAATTGAATTTTAGAGTTTATGGAATTAAGATGTTCTAAAAATGCAGTTACATTGTCTGATGGTAAAATTGTGAAAGTATCGTCTACGTACCGCTTGTAGATCATTGGTGTAACAGTTGCAGTAAGGAGGGCTTTCTCCTCAAAGTCTTCCATGAATATATCGGCGACAATGGGAGATGCAGGTGAGCCCATCGCAACACCATCTACTTGCTTGTAAAACTCTTCCTTCCACAATAGATAGCCAGATGTAAGGCAATGTCTGAGTAATACTGCATATTCTGCTGGCATGTTATTTTCCTCTAGTTTCCTAGTTATAATTGAGATGCAGTCTTCAACAGGTAGGCATGTAAATAGAGACTGAACATCAAAACTGACCATGGTTTCATTGTCAGTAAGACGTAGGTCTTTTATCTCACTGACAAAATGGTATGAAACCTTAGTGTGTGTTCTTGTGTGTCTACTGAGTGGTGATAATATTTTAGCTAAGTATTGAGCCAATCTGTAAGTTGGCGAATCAATCTGACTCACTATTGGACGTAATGGAGCGTTCGGTTTGTGTATTTTTGGTAACACCTTCGGTGGTTTGGCACATGAAGGTATTATCGAATTAACGTCCAGATTAAATTTCTCGTTGGAAATTAAAGTTCAGTTATCTATGAAAAGTGATGCCATTTTTTTTTTTGAAATTACACAAAGTGTTTGCCTTTTATGAGGCGTCTAATCGGGCTGTGTAGTCGTTGGCCACTATTGATAATCGATAGGTAGTTTCGTTTTGTTACTCAAAAAAGCCGCTACAGCCCACCGCTACGCCATATTGGTCATAGAAGTTGGTTTATGTTGCCAGTATCATAATTTTTTTATTTTCCCTTTTTTAAATGTAGTTTACCTGAACAAACATTAATTTTGGCTTTTTACTTTAAATTATGAACCGAAAAAATCTTGAGAAACTTCTTGAATATTAAAGGTCTGTGTAACGGGCATTGCAATTTCAGGTGGACGTTTATGTTTCGAAGCTTTATAATTACCACCCTATAAACTTATTGTTGTTTTATGGCAGCTGTAGGAACGACACAGCGCGACTGAAACCTGAATCTTTGTTCAGGCCGTGAATCCTTACTTTTTTGAGTTAACAAAATTAAAGTTTAATGAGTTACTACTACTACTTAATAAAGTATGAATTGATTTAACATTAAATTGCAAGTTAACCTTTTATTTCTAGTAATAATTCTATGCTATGATGTATTTTGCGATTAAAATACACATCAGACTAGACTGTATGATCTAGAATTTTTGATTATCGTGATTGGTAAATTCATATATTGCAGTAGCAATAACCTCTTTCTCTTTGCTTCGAAGTACGCCATTTTTGATGTAAAGTAAAGTTGTGAAGCAAAAGCCATAGAGTAAAGTAATATATCGTACAGAAGAGCAGGAGTAAAAAGTTGAATTTTTGTCATTTTCGTCTGATAGTGTAATTTATCAGGTGTGGTATTTTGTATTAGTACTTCCGCAATTTTAATAATTTAATATTTTTACTCTGTACCAAAACGATATCAGATTCAACATAAACTATTTTTTTATCAAAATCGTTTGAAACGTTTAACAGATGTTCTTTAAATTTTTTAAAGCTTAATATTTTCCGTATGTTTCTTAATATTATATTTTCTTGTTTTTGCAATTACCTTTGTGGGAATGAACTACAATAGCAGTTACATAGTATTAAAACTATAGTTGCATTGAAAATTTGTAAATAAGAGGGTAAACAAAACTAATAATGAGTACTAACGTGAAATGAAAAGTGATCAAGTTTGATTTGTTGCTTATGATATTTGCAAATGTAATGCAAACTTAACTTGGTATCTCATAAACAAAACTTTATTTTACAGTTTAAAAAATGAGTGATTCGCCTGATCAGAATGATCCTGCAAAAGATGTAAGTTGAATTTGAAGTTGTTTTTGTTTTACATACACATGTTTTCTTTGTATCTTTCACCTAAAAACATTTCTTACAGCCAAAAGAATTGGAAAAGATGGAGGAAGCTAAGCTTAAAGCAAAGTTTCCAAATGCAATGTATGGCAGGGGAGCAGGAAGCCATTCTGCTTTTCTTCAAAAAAGATTAGCTAAGGGAGTAAGTATTCAGTGCCAATTTAACAGAATAGAAGTATTCTATTTGTTTATTTTTAACACTGAAAGTTGTTTTAAAGAATATTAAAGTACAGATATAAAAATATTAAAAATTAGATCAGTAATAAAAAACTAGATACACAATCCCATGCAAAAGTTCTCATGCCAATTGTTTTGACCTGACTGAAATAAATATACATTAATGTAAATTCAACCTTAAATGCATTGCCTATAGTTGTATTCACAAAGATACATATGATTAACTTACAAAATCTCAATTTAGATGTGATAACAATATTTAAATATTGATATTATTCGCACTTCTAGGTCAGCACATGTTTTGTTTTTTGTTTCTTAAATAATATTGTCTGTGGTTCCTATAAACATGGTAAAATCTTACGGTACATTGTGAAAAATGTGTTATATTTTATATTTGAATTTATGATAAGTAACGCAGCAATTAATTTAATAACAGTTTCATATTTAAAAAAATATTAGAAACAATATAATCACCATATTGAGCTTTTGCAAATTCTTCCCTTTAAAATAAATAAAATGCACTTTACGTTAGTTTGTTCTAAAAGAAATGTGACAATGGCAGCCAGAGATGCGTCACTTTTTTTAAGCCGGCCTGCATGCACCTAATAAAAATAAATTTCTTATATAATATTGAAAATAAAGTTTTATCTTTTGAATAATTGCGTACTTATTCAGTGTTGTTATCACTCGAATCTTTATTTATTATATGTGTTATAAATTAATGTGTGTTAAATGAATAAAGCACTTATAACAATAGATTATTTTTCATCTACAGCAATCTTTTACATAACTTTTTAATAATATAGTGAATTTCGGTTATAACGACGGCGGAGGGACCACTTTAATGTCGTCGCTATATCCGAAATAATAAAAAGTCATGTACATATTTACTTATCATTTATTTAATTATGTTTTACGCGGTTGTTTTGTGATTTTTCTTTATTTTCAGGGATTTTGATTCAAAACACTCCATAACTTTAGCGCGGTTTTTTCACATAGTTGATATTGTAGAATGTGAAACTCCAAATTGTTTACACAGATCAACATTGTTTTCTCTATTTTGCAGTCTCGAAATGATGTCCACTTTTTCTTTAACAGTAAATGTACGTCTAGGACTCTAGGAGCCATATTCACAAGTTTAAGAAACAGTGTTCACTCACTGGAATTTCTATGTAACTGATTCACAAGTTTAACTTCGTAAACATGCTACGTAGTCCTACATACAAACAAAGCATTTGGTTTGTCCATCTGTAAATGTAAACAAAGGATAAGAAAGCTTAATAGTTTTATGAATGAGTCTTTGTGCCTTTGCTGACTCAGTCGCAATATCCGCAAGGGATTTCTAGGAATCGGTCATAAATGGTTCATAAAAACAAGTCGCTATACCCGAAATTGACGCTATAACCGAAGTCGCTATTACCGAATGAGTTTCTTACGAAAGTATGCTTTAAATTCAAGGGACGTAAGTTTGACGTCGCTATAACCAAAAAGTCGTTACAACCGAGGTCGTTATTAATAAAATCCGCTGTAGTTAATAAATATATATTATATCAATCATTATAAAAAAAATAATAAAAAAATCATTATAAATAAAGAAAGTACTACATATAAAAAGTGCCTATATATCGAAGGTTTGTAGCCCCTGGTTAAATGACCGAAAGGTCAATGTCCATTTTTCTCAATCGATTTGGCATAAATTATAGTAATGAAAGTACTTGAAACAGTCAAAATTATTTATTTATTCTTTATCTTGTGTTCAAAATTTAAAAATATTCTTGACAAATAACTGAAATCTAAATTCAATTGTTACTAAAAATAAAAAGTATGTACAGAAAGTTGTAAGTCGTAGTCACATATTCATCGCTTTCTAAAAAATGCTTGTCCATACAACGCTTCCTTGGGTTGGCTTGAAGAATTCTTCGGATCTTTTACATGCTATGACTGATATCCATTCTCCACACATAACTGGATCGAGAGGAAATAAAAAATAAAAACTTACATCTTTAATTTTATTACATACACATATTCAAAATTAAATATATATAAAATGTTACTAGTACCTGGATTATCGAGCTTTTCTCGTTTTTTTTTTTTTGGAAATCGTGTTATTTGTAAATTATATTTAGATACAAATTACAAACTGATGAAATATGAATAAAATTTTTCTATCTTCTCGATCATTATTTTTAGTGTTTTAAGAGAATATACTAAAAAAAAAGGGCTCCAAATAATATATTTTCTCACAAAGAAAGGAAAAAAAGTGTCAGACCGGAGACATTTAGACTCGAACCAGCGTTCTTTGATTTCAGCACCACCCGATATCCCATTTTAGCTGTTATAATTGTTTAGGCACTGGCAAAGTTTACTTTCGTATTCTAATGATATTGTAGCAGTTTTTCATTGCCTAAAAACATGGATAAAACGACATTTTATAAAAATGAGTCCTAGCTAGATCGATTTATTTCTTCCGAAACACCCTGCATACAAAATTTCATGAAAATCATTGGAGCCGTTTCCAAGATTCCTACTACATATTATACACACACACACACACACACACAAGAATTGCTCGTTTAAAGGTATAGGATAATATTTAGAGAAACAATAAAGAAGTACATTAAAAACAATCATACTTTAATAATAAAAAAATAATAATGTCTCTAACAAATGGAAGAGTGCTATGTGCATTACTGGAACAATTATGAATTATTATACTGTGACTTAATTTAAAAAATGTTTTACGGTGATTTCTTGACAAAATATAAGTATTTACAATACAGTGATAACAGTTAAATAAGGATAATATTAATATGTACTGAAATTAGGAAATCTCATCCTTTTTTTTAACATCCTGGATGTGTGATTTTTATTCTTTTTAAACGAGCACTGAGGCATGTTTACTGTCAGAGCCAAAGACATTTAAATAGGACATCAGTAACAAAATTGTCATATGTAACTTTTGTCATATAGCATAAATCTCAGATTTATTAATAGTCATTTAGTCTAAGTGACATCGTCAAAAGGTCGAGATGCATTCATTTTATAAATCTAAAAATATTTTTAAAGAAAATATGCCTGGTTGTGCATTAAAGTATTGTAAATCACGATATCGAGCAAAAACTGAATGTGATTTCGGTTTATTATCATAAGGATAATGTGTATTTACCAAATAATCTTTAAATTTTATTATTTCTAGTAGATTGTTGGAGAAGAAAGAAAAATTATTGTAATAAGTGCCCTCTGTTATCCAGTTACGTCACTATTTATTTACAAATATGTTAGTGATTAACGATGTGCCTACAACGGATTTTAACCTAATGTTTAGTAGTGTCACCTACTGGGAAATAGCTAAAATGTTTTCTAAATAAATATTCAGTGTAGTATTGCTAGAGGGTGTAATACATGCGCACGGTCACAGCTTTTGTATGAAAATGTTCCCGATGTCTGCTCTATAGTGTATATATATATATATATATATATATATATATATATTTAAATCTCTTTGGTGAGAGCATTTGAATGTAACTAGATTAAAAGCGCACCCAAATGTTCGAATAGGTGCTCATTTGGTGAGGCCATCTTTTGTCACTGATTATGTATCTAGTTTTTTATTAGTGGTCGATTTTTATATGTTGCATACAAGCTATAATTTGATAATAATAATTTTAGTTACCTTTCAATATTGGCAAATCGTTATGGTTGATGGCTGTGGGCTTTAATTATGCATGTAAGAAGTATTCTACCTGGATAGGGACAAATGCTACCTGTACATAGCTGCAGCACAATTAGCTTAGCTTGCCTGGGGTAGGGCCAAAACTTACCAACTTTTTACCAATAAATGAAAGTAATTTTTTACTTACTGGTAAAAAAGTAAAACATTTGTTGGTATCAATTCAAAAGAAATGATGTATAACTCAATAGTCTACTTGAGAGTTTCTTGTCTCTTCCTCTCACACGGTCTTCCTGCACTAGGGTCATTTTGAGTTATAGCGTAGGTTTTTGCTTTCAAAAAGTGTACTATAAAAGCCAATTTTGAATAACATAAAACTGACTTTTGAATTGTAAGTTGATCTTCTTTTTTTTCAGCAAAAGTTTTTTGATTCTGGTGATTATCAAATGGCAAAACAGAGGCCCAGCAATCTGGCGGCGCCGTTTAAAGCACCTGCTGCTCCTGCTAAATTGCCAACTGGAGATGCCATTCCCACACCTGAGACCGTCCCTCTAAGGAAGACCTCCATCATACAGCCTAAGTTCCAACCGCCCAGCCAGACCTCCTAGCCTTGCCATTGGTCCAGGCGGCAGGCCACTTAAGTTAATTCCAATTTTATTTTGTTAAGCTAATGTGTCAAATAAGGCAAATGCTTTTAATTTTTAATGAATGTTTGCACCATGACTGGCAGACTAATTAGTATAGATTAACAATCTCATTGTTTCACACCATAAAACTTTTGTCATCATTGTGATTTAAAAGTGTCTAGTAAACTACGTTAAAAATAAACGAAAACTTATGAAGAGCAACTGTTATATATTTATGTATACAATTTAGATAATGTAATATTAGTAAAGTTGAAAATTATGTGCATTAGTGTTGTCCGTCAATAGTCATTACACTATTGTTTGTGTTCTAGGGCTAATATTATTAAATATTTACTACAAATAGTGACAACACTACCAATGTGTGACTACACTAAAGCTGACTTCATTATACAAAAAAAAAGGTTTTATTATGATTTTTAAATAATACCTCCACAACTTATGTTATTTACTGGATATAGTTGAACAGTGGTAATCTGGCAAACATTTTGCAAGGTGGTGTTGGATTATCGAATTTGTTGGACTATAGAGTACTGCCATAGTCCCCTGGTAGCCCAGAACTTTTTGAAAAAGAGTATCTTGTAATCTGAAAGATTACATGTCAATATAAAATAATAAAAAACGAAAATGTCATGTGATTCACAATGAATACCTAAACAGTAAATAATGAATGTCCGCTAGGCCGCTACCCATAGTCACATTTGAACTGAGACAATACGCGCCAAGCTAGATTCGTGGTGGCGCGAACTAATTGCAACCTGTTTGTATTCGCAATTGACACCTCTGCCCATGGCGGATTCATAGTGCGACTCGAATCTACCTACAAGTTAAGGACATGTTGGATTACAAGGGGAGATTGATTAACCAGGGGTCAGATTACCAGGGGTCCACTGTACTTAAAATAATATGGCAAGTTATGAATGTTCCATTCTTGTATCATTACCACACTTCAAAATTGCATTTTAATGCATAGGACTACAACAGTCCTATAAATATAATTTTCATTTCATTTGTCATATCTGTTATTTGTGTATATTAAATTACTGAGTTAAACATTATTACACACAAATATTTGCTGATTAGTCAGTTATTTAACTATTATAAGAAAACAATAAATAATAGATGGTTTAAGGTTTCAGTTAATTTTATTATATGATGTATTCAAATTAAGAAATAATCTTGAATGTTGCCTTTAAAAAAATATTATTTTTAAACAGTTCAATTTTAATTTGATCAATGTACATAAAGCCGTTATCATTGAACAAAAAAGTGATCTTAATATAAGTTAATGGATTGTATGTGGGATGCTCTCTAGCAATACAAATGTGGATACAAAAACATTTAATATCAAAAGTTTATTGTAATTTAAAATGTATGGTTGCTTATTAAAACAACAAAAATAGTGATAATATTATACATATACACACATTATCGTTTGTTTACATAACAGATCTGGTTTTAGTATTTTGTTTGCAAAATACATTATGCAATTGGAAGCACATTAACTACCACATTTTGTTATGCACGGGAGTGAAGTGTGTGCAGGGAATGTTGAGGTTGGTTGTATTTAATAATAATAAATTCTTGATAACACTAATACTTGTCGTTTTTATCACCTCACTTCTAATATGAAGAAAAACACGAAGTTGCATGCTTTTATGTCATAAAAATCCATCTTAATTTATTAAATTAATGGTAATGAAGAATATTCTTAAAATTAAGGTAAACAACCTTCAGGTTTATATTATTACTACAATAAATGAATGGCACTTGTTAAAAACTTAACAACTGGGTTCAGATCCTCCATTTCTGTCTTCCCATGGAATGTCTATGATTAGACCCATCTCTGCAAATTATCAACATCTTGTCATGGTTTCATGTCTTTCCTGTGTTATATTTGATTGTTATCTGTAACCAAAAGCTAATAATAATATGGGAAATTTTTATCATCAAAAAAAGTCTCAAAGCAAGTCTAAAAAAACTCGTATCTCAAGTTGGCTAGAATATGAGTGTCTAAGTTGAAATATGATATTATAGTGTTAAAAGTATGCAAAGTTACAGCGTATTTTAGAATAATTAGTCCACCGCGCTGCTACAGTGCGTATGGCGGATTTCTCATACCTTTGCAAAACTATTAATTTAATAAAAAATTTAAATCTATTTTCAAAAAAAGGGGTTTTGTCACACAGTGACTATGTCGCCCCCGTGATATACACACAAAAATAATAACAGAAAATAAAGTAATGAACACATAATAACATAGAAAGTAACAGAGCTAGCTAGTAGTACCAGTTACTCGACTCCGCCGAGTCAGTAATTCATTCTTGGGGCGATGTATACGCTTTTACAACAAAATCTCAGAAAATATACAAAATTTGTCATACGCAAAGTTCAAAAATTTTATTAAACTAAGCTTGTATAAAAAGGGTTATTATAATATTAAGGAATTTATGGATGATAATAACCCCTGGGAAGGGTGATCGCTACCAAGCTATTTCTAATTTGTCTTGTATTGTTAATTGTAAACATGATTGTAAGCTATTATTTGAAAAAAAAAAATAGTCCCGCTGGGTTTCTTGCTGGTTCTTCCCAGGACAGAGGTTTTTTTTTGCGAACCAGTGGTAAATGAAAAAATTGACTTTCAATAAGTATTGTTATAATCTACATTGAATAAAAAAGTTTATGTTTCAAAAAAAGAGCTACATAAAATAAAAATAAAATTAGCAACAAAAATAGATATTATGCAAAATCCTGTGTTATGATTACCCTTATAAGTAAGAAAAGATTACATCTCGCTAAGCTCACATTACATGTAAATAAAGTTTGATTAGCATTTTGGCCTCATGACAAAGTGGAGATGTTAGGATAGCATTACAAATGCCTACATTGTGATTGTTCAAAAATGTCATATCTTGCCTTTGAACCTCGTTTCGAGCACACTCCATCAAAACATGGTGCACATCTTCTACAGTATTACACTCCGAGCAATTAGGGGAGTCTGAAATTCCTATCAGAAATCGGAACTTATTTGACGGGATATGCCCAGAGCGAGTCTTAAGAGCGCAACAATATTCTTCCTGTTAATTTAATTTTTTTTCAAACCATGGATAACGAGAAGGTTGACACTGAATGGTTTTGTACCATATTCCCTTACTAAGTGAGCGTTCATCAAACTGTTGCTGCGTTAAATAATAATGGCGATAAGGGGTCACCTTGTGCTATACCGGTCCCTGTATATCTGCTTACACACTCTTCATTGCTTAGTTCGATAAATAACCTTCGTGAGTGCAAATACTGGTAGAAGTAATTACATATTACGGTGCCCACTCCTAAATTATCTAGCGCACCTAAAAGACTTATAATATTGACATTGTTGTATGCGCTATCGATATCAACAAAACACCCCACAGTAGCCTCTCCGTTACCAAAGCCACTCTGTATTCGTGACACTAATCTAGTCAAATTGTCCAGGCAAGATCGCGATCTTCTAAAGCCTACTGTTTCATCTGGTAAACAATTATTTTTTCAAGGTACCATTCCAATCTGCGCGTAATAATTGTATGAAAAATCTTGCATGGACAAGACAGAAGACCTGAATTTGAGATATTGTTAATTTTCGGTTTCGGTATAGGCATTATTTTTACATATCTCCATTGTCTTGGTATAAAGCTTGAAAGCAAAAATCTGTTGCATAAAGATACGAGAACAATTTTAGCAGCGTTTGGAAGGTTCTTGATCATAGAGTTTGAAATGTCATCTGCGCCAGGTGCAGTATCGGACTGTTTAATTGTGTTTGCGAGTTCATGAACAGAAACAGGTAAAGATAGATGTACGTTCTCGCTATTAAACACAGGAGCCGGTGGATCTGCATAATCAGGTGCTAAACTACACAGTAAGGAATCAGCTAACTCGCGGGTAATATTACTTCTCGCTGTCCTGCACCCCTTCAGCCACTTCATTTTAGCCCACATTTCACTTGAAGTTGAACCAATGCCAATGCTGTCACAGAAACCTTGCTATGACCTATTTTTACTACTACGAATAATTTTTTGTGCCAACCTGACCTTGTTTTGTAATACTTCTAAATTTACTTGTGTAGGGTTTCTCCTAAAAACAGCAAGTGCCCGACGTCGTTCCGCTACAGCTTTTGAAATATCCGGATTCCAATATGGTCTAGGAGTGAACCTTTGTTGGTGAAGAGGATTTTCACATATTTTTATAAATGGGATACACTTATCAGCTCCCTCGTTAATAATATCGATGAAAGCGTGGTACGCAGACTGGTGATCATCTGGTAATATAAAGCCTTCAAGCTTTCTCTCTATATGTGTCATATACTGCAACCAGTCAGCCTTTTTAAAATTGCGTTTTCTTTTATAGATATTGGATGTGCCAATATTAGTTTTTATTATTTTCATTTAGTACTATCCAGTCGAACTTCAAAGCTATATCCAGAGAAGCTAGAGATAGGTCAGGGGCAGATTTTTGTACTGTGCCGTTAACCAGATTAATTCTAGTATGTGAGCCGTCATTCAGTGAAACAAAATTGTTGTCTAAAATGGAATCCAAAATTTGATCACATCGTGAGTCCGTTAGTTGTCTAGTTGACCAGTTGGTGTGGTGGCCATTAAGATCTTCTGCAATTATTGTCTTTCGTCTGGCAAAATTGAAGATTTGGTATCAGTCTCTCAAAGTGGTACGAGCGGATGGTGGGCAGTATAAGGAGTATACATTTTCTATATGTTTACAATTTAAAATTCTAATATGGAGGATCTCAATTTGTGAATTTAGCAGTTCAACATTATGTTTTTGTGCCTTAATTGACCTGTGAGTCAATATAGCTACGCCTCCAAATCCGTCAGCACGATCACTTCTAAAAACGTTATAGTGGCTAATGTGAAAGTGACTACCCGGGTCTAACCAAGTTTCGCTTATAATAGCAATGTGTATTTTTTCTTGAGTTAATAGCCAACTCTGTACATTTAGGTTGAATGCTTTGCGCATTCCATTGTAGCACATTTACGTAGGCTTGTGAGTTGTTGTTATCCATAATTATTTTACGAAATTGCAACAAGGCTGATCTGCAATAAACGGCAACACTAATGATATTAACGCCTCCAATATTATATTTCCACAGCCTTTTATCTTGTCTTCCCACGAACTACTTTCCTATTCAAATATCTTCTCTTTTAATTTTTTAAAAAAATAATTTCCAAGACAATTATTCTTTATTTTTCGCTCGATTCTATACTTGACTAACTCGGTAAAAAAATTCAGGTACGTTTTGTTCCTGTTCTTTGAGGGCCCTTCTTCTATTCCGTGGTTTCTCTGACTTAAGGCTTTTTGTCGTTTCTTCCGGGGGTGTTTTCGTAACACTAGCGTAGGTATACACATCACTAGGCCCGGGAATCTGTTTATCTTGTTGTGATGATTCATTTTCAGATGTAGGTTGTGTAAGTAGAGGTGGGTCATTTTTCATATTCGGTGGTCGAGGTGACGGCGGAACATACAGTATAAGGGCTTTTTTGTAGGAACAGTTAAATTCTGCCATGAGTTCTCTAATTCGTTTCTCTTTCAACACGGCAAATTTTAGCCATTGCCATGTGTTTTCCAATACAGTTATTACATTTGAAAGTCGTCGTTTCACAGTTTAGGTACTTTTTGTACATTTAGGACAAATTATTTTTAGAGAAGGGCACATTCTAATCGAGTGACCAAATCGCCAACAACGGGAGCATTGCGTCACTGGGTAGGTGTAAGGACTCACTTTTACCCTAGTGTCATAGATGTAAACATACGACGGTAATGATGATCCCTTAAAACATACTCTTACAGACTCGCTATGTTCGCAATGACCGTCATAAGTGTTCTTTCGCTTTAGTCTTTTAACTGCTAAAATTAAAGTTTCACTTTTAAGTGCTAGTAGTATCTCTTCTTCGCTCAATTCTAGATCAATATCTTTTATAGCCTCATATGATTTACTAATTTCTAAAGTTTTTTGGCATTTAAAACCATTCTCGTTAAATCTCTTGCACTGTACAAAAGATTTCTTCGCTATTAAAATGAATCAATACCTTAAAAGCATTTATGTAGTTAATTTTCGGGACGTTTTTAATACTTTCTGCTGTTAACATTTTTGCCAATCCAAATTGTTTCGGAAGTTTATCGGTACATGTCGGACATACTTCAATTTTATCCTCCGTAATTCTCGTAAGTACATTATCCTCTGTACATTCATTATATCTATTTGCCTTTCGCGTTTTTGAGGGTCTCCCTAAGAACATGTCATTCCTATCTTCCGTACTACATACATGTGAATTATCCTCCATGATCACTGTAATCTCCCTTTCATTGCTTTCGTTAAATACACTATTTTCCACATCAATCTCACTTTGCACATAATTCAACACAGTGTTACTACTCATAATTAATTGACCTCACTGTTAACATGGTCCACAAAAGCGCACTGACGTGCGGCGCGTTGCTAGAACTAGGGTCAGTACGTAATCGAACGGTAGATCAACGCGTCTAGCTACAGCGCAACTGAATTTAATAATTACAGTAATTACCTACATAGATTTACTGTTTAATGGAATATACCCCTTAAATGGATTTTATTGCATACTAGTTTACCCATATCATAATCTATGTATATATATGTACATAATGTAGTGGTAACATAATATAGTAATTATTTATCTATATAATATTGTGCTAAAATTATTTTCTGTTCTGGATATTTACTATTTTTATAGAGCCGTGCTAGCTCAGAAGAGCCGTGGTAGCTCAGATGGATAGCGCTCGCTATAATTTTCACAGTACGCGAGCAATCCGGGTTCGATCCCCGCCGGCACCAATGAAATTGTTAATTGCAATGTGTAAATGTGCAAAAAGTGCTGATTTACCACGTGCTCTGCGGTGAAGGAAAACATCGTGAGGAAACCTGCATTTCTGAGAAATAAAAAAAAAAATTTCGAAGACATGTGGTTCGCCAACACGCATTTGGGTAGCGCGGCGGATACTTCCTTGCCCTAAAACCCTCTCAGAAATGAGAGGAGGCCTGTGCCCAGCAGTGGGATATAGGCTGTAACTTTAACTATTTTTATAATTAAAATCCCATTCATTGATGTTGTCATTTTTCCAAATGACAACATCAGTGAATGGGACTCTGGCAATTGACTTATATTCGAAACCGATAGTTTAAAATCCAAGCTAAGCGGAGCAGTTAGCAAATTATTGAAAATATTTACCCAGCAATGGATGAATAAAAACGACCTGTGTACTTGCACTAATTCTACATGTACATTATGCACGAAGCTAGACATATAACTAGCTAGTAAAGAATAAATCTTTTTAGCCCATAAGAGACTACAGATGACTATAGTTCGTGCCAAATCGAATGAGAAAAACGGACATTGTCCTTTCGGTCGTTTAACCAGGGGCTACAAACCTTCAATATATAGGCACTTTTTATATGTAGTACTTTCTTTATTTATAATGATTAATATAATATATATTTATTAACTATTAAGTTATGTAAAAGCTCGCTGTAGAAGAGAAATCATCTATTGTTATAAAGTACTTTATTAATTTAACAACAAAAAGCACTAATTTATCACGCATATATAGATTCGAGTGATAGCGACACCGAATAAGTACGTATTTATTCAAAAGATAAAACTTCATTTTCAGTATTATATAAGAACTTTATTTTTATTCGGTGCAGCGGGCCAGCCCAAAAAAAGTAACGCATCTCTGGCTGCCATTGTCACGTTTCTTTTAGAACAAACTGACGTACCGCGCATTTTGCTTTATTTTAAAGGGATGAATTTGCAAAACCTCAATGTGGTGATTATAATGCTTCAAATAATTTTTTTAAATATGAAACTGTTATTAAAAGAATTGCTGCGTTACTTACCATAAATTGAAATATAAAATATAACACATTTTTCGCGATGAACATGTATAGGAACCACAGACAATATTATTTAAGAAACAAAAAAACATATATGCTGACCTACAAGTGTGAATAATATTAATATTTAAATATTATTATCACATCTAAATCGAGATTTTGTAAGTTACGCCTTCTGACACTCGGCGCATATCTGAGATCATCGTCCGTTTTTCTCAATCGATTTGGCACGAAATATAGTTCCTCTGTATTTGTTTAACTTGTTATAGGGTGGATTTTTTTAATGGTCACGCTTGGTAGACGTATTAAAGACCGCAGTGCCACACTTAACTCACTGTCCGTTGCCGATCTATAGATAAACCACCTAATTGGCGGTCGCCCACGGGGTAATAAATTTGTGGGAGGGAGTGACTTACGAGCGTTACAGGGCAGTTTGGTGGCGGCGGGCAGCAGGAAACATTTTTCGTGTTCAGTAGTTAACTCGCGTATCTCGCAGTGAACAATTCATTATGGGTAAGCGCAGACCGAACTGCAAAATGCTCGCACATGCTCGAGCAAAATATTAACTACTCAACCATGCAGGCGGCATCCGAGCTCCTCCGTGAGCAAGATCCATTGAAAGTGCTCTGGGTTGCTAGGGGGGCGTGTATACCCAATTTGATGCCAAAATTCGACGTTGATAGACGTGTTCAATATGATCGATTGAGACTTGGTAATTATCGCCCTTTTGGCAGAGGAAGAGGAACATGAAGAACATATTAATGAAATCAGACTTCAGAAAATTAGAAGAACGAAAAAGAATATCAGTCACGGAAGCTTAGAACAAAACGCACAATAGATTAAAGCGCCACGATCAATGAAAAGATGAATCGGCCTCAGATTTTTGGTAAGAAAATTAGCAGACAAGCGAAACACATGGCATACAGCGTTTATTCTATGTTAGAAAACAAGATCAAAGTTCTACGGAGTATCTACAAGACGTAAACGTGAAAAAAATTGTTGCACAAGTAACAGGACTTTCATTGTTTACTGTAAGTAAAATTATTAAAGATGCAACGATATGAAACGTGAACAGAATAGCGCGTTTTTTAAATCACCAGCAAAAAAGAAACAAATCCGAAAGAGAAAAATTCAAATAGATAATTTTACAGAAGGCATAATAAGACGAAAGGTTAACATTACGACGACGAAAAGAAACATTAAAAAATTTAAATGCTGATCTTAAAGAAGACGGAATTATTAGTTGCAATATTTGACAATATTGTTGCACCAACTTGGCTTTAGATTTAAGAAACGTCAGTCGAAAAGCTACTTATGAACAACCATATTGATATAGTATCTTGGCGATGGAGATATTTGAATGCGATAAAGAAGCATTGGAGAGATCAGAGGAACATTGTTTACCTCGATGAAACATTGGTCAATTCCTTCTTAAATGTCTCATACTGTTTTGTTTTTTTATAGAATAAGGGTGACATATGAGCACACAGTCCACCTGACGGTAAGTGCATGCTGTGGCCCATGGACATCTACATTTATCCTCGATTAAGAATCAAAACGCAGAAGCATTGTCACCCGTGAGGACTAAGATGGAATGCCTCCTTTCCAGTAAAAAAGGTCTCCGGATCTCTACACTCACCATACGAAATACGGCAGTATTACGCTGCTATTTGTCGCTAGTATTCTGTGAGAGCGTGGTCCTTCCCCGATCGAGCCGACCCATTTCGTGCTACAACTATAATATAGCTGCAGCGTGGCTCTACCACGTATAAAAAACGTATGTTAACAGTCTACAGAAGAAAGAGTGCTGTCACAAATTGGCAAATGGCCATGTTTAATTATTTTCCATGCTGGAGGCCGTGGTGAATTTATCAATGGAGCCCTTATGATTTTTAAATCAAAAAGAAAAATTATTGCCAAATTTACCAACACATTCCGTGATTGTCATGGATAATGCTGCTTACCATTCTGTACAAGTGGATAGAAAGCCCACGATGGTGTCAACAATAGCCAACATGCAGGCCTGGCTGCAAAGACATAACTTGGACTTTAATATATCCTTAAAGAAATGTGACTTACTCACATTGATCAAGCAACACAGATCTGAAAATGTTAATAAAATTGACGAACTGTTAAAGGCTGCGGGTCACGAAGTCTTACAACTTCCACTACACCACTGAGACTTGAAACCGATTGAGTTGGTATGGGGAAATATCAAAGGACAACTCACAAGAAATGAACTTGATAGCAATTTGGATAAAAAATTAATAAAAAATAATTTTTTATCCAAATAAAAAAAAATAAAAAAATTGCACTGAAGCAATACTCGACGAATTCTCTGTAGAAAAATGGAAAAGCTGTGATAGCAAAGTCCAAAATTGAAAATGAATATTGTAAACATGATGAAATTATCAATGATGTTATGAATCAAATGATAATTTACAAAACGAGTCTGACTAATCTAGCTGCACTCAAAGTGAACATAATTCAAGTGAGAATTATAGTAGCGAGGAAGAATATTATTTTTATATTATTATTATTATAGTTTATTATTATTTTATGCATAGTTTATTTTTTTATATTATTGTATTTTAATAATATACAATAAATAAATTAAATATTATGAATAAAGTAAA